AACAAGCATTGAAGTCGGATTCTGGTAAGTGAAGTTTAGGTAAGCCAAATACGTCAAGCTTGCCCCGTTTGTTTATTTGTTTGGATCATATTTAGTAATTGGAATTGTATCCCCTTCTTGACGATAGATCGATATAATATTCGGTACACACTCTCAGTTTGATGACCATACAATACCTCCGTTATGGATATCAAACAAAAGGGCTTGGTTGACAGAATTGAGCTCATTCATTCAATTTGTTTAACGTAAAAAAGACATAACATAACATATATACAAAATATCACGCCTTTTATCCCCGAAGGGGTAGGTACACATTGTACAATGTAACACCCACTTTTCTCTATTTATGTTATGATTCCCATGTAGTAAGGGACGATCCTACTGCTATATATACCGAGCACTACTCCAGACTCTGTGCTACTATAGTTTTGTTTTTTTAAACCCAGTAACATTTTCAGTTAAGTTCCAACATTTTCCGGTTACTTAAGTACTTTTATTTGATTTTCTTTCGATTGTCTAGTTCTTAAAATAAGTTTTAATACTACAGTCAAAGAAACTTCATTACTTCCAGCTGATTTGCTTTCAATTTTCTGTATTTCAGAAATAAATAATATTTATACCACAACCAAAGTTGGAAATATTATATCTAAGTAAGAACTACCTAAGTAATAACTTATAATGGCGACCATTAGAATTCTTAGAATCGTATGATTTAGATATGTACCTATATTTATTATTGGCTGAGATGTTTATCTTTTGAGCAATAAATAGCTACTTCAGATACCTTCTCCATTGAAAACAAATATTTTTGTACGTTCCAGTGAAAAATGAAAATTATGACTTTTATAAGTAAGTGTCGTAGGCCGCATCATCGCTTACCACCAGGCGAGATAGTGGTCAAACGTCGGTCCATCAAAATATATATATATATATACCTCTATATATATAAATAAAAAAAGGGTAGAACACCATGTATTTAATGTACCTAAATACCTAATACCTACTGACTTTTTGCCATTTACAATTTGAATAAACACTTGAATATTTTTTAAAAATATAATAGGACTAAGAGACACTTTGTCTGATAGGGAAATCAAACCGGAAAACCTTTGCAAACACTCAAATAATGAGGACACTGATTTATTTCAACTATCTTTTCCATTCAGATATCTTCTCATCTAAGTAGGTACAAAATTGTCTTTCATCATAGAAATAAAAATAGGAGCTTATTTCTGATATTATTTTATAAGCTGTTACAGATTGTACTTAACTCACAGTCACAGTTAGGGTTGCCACCTTCTTTTTGGTATTTAAAGTACATTGACAATTATAGGTAGGAAAAAAGTACACAGTACAAAAATAAAGTACAATTTATTCTTACTTAGTATTATATTTAAAAATATTTTTTATTGCTTTTTGCAGTTTGTATTAAATTTGTATCTTTAGTAAACACTGCATTGAAATACTAAACAATTGCATCTTTACTAGAAATTGTCTAAATGGCGCTGGCGAGTGGTGAAATCGATTCAACATAAATCGATTTATATCGATATCGAATCGATAAGTTTACCGAAAAATACATAATATGAAGTTTGCAAAAATAAAGTATTTTCGTGTACTTTATTATTCTTATAAAGTATAGAGTACAATTACCTTAAATAACGTACAATACTTTATTATAAAGTACGGGTGGCAACCCTAGTCACAGTGTTTCAATTAATATTTTAAGGATTCAACTTTGCCCTCTCTTATTATATTTCAGGAATCTAAGACTCAACTGTCGATCATATAAGTAATAATGTTGGGAATGAAATCAAAAGTCGTTTAACAATAAACATATTTACCCATTTTTTATTATTTTTTAAATACACGCAGCGTACACTATTAATAGGTACCTATATACCTAGCCCAAGTAATAAAATTGAGGTATTCCTCGTAGCGCTCCCGTTTTGAGGCGCGCCCATCTAAACGCTCCCGTTTTATTCCTCTAAGCACTCCCAAAAGAAGCGCTTTGAGGAACGATTAAAAATATTAAAGTTTATTTCCTCGAAGCGCTCCCATGATTAACTTTCGGATAGAGATGGGACTTTACTAATTGAAATTATCGATAAGAACTAGGTAATAAGTAGAACACATTGTTATAATATACAACTAGCGGCCCGTCCCGGCTTCGCACGGCTTTAGTAATTATTATTTTTTTGTTTTATTGTAAATCCTTTAGTCTATATGTCGGCAGATTATATTTATCTATATGGTGGACGCAACAAAACACCAAAACGCCTGCAGTTTTTGATATCATCATTCATTTTATTTACTGTGTTTTCGACAAAATAATTTCGTAAATTTTTCAGAACATTTATAACAGTAACAAGAACTACAGATTTACGTATCACTTACATATTTATTTACATTTGTATGTTGAGGTATTTACAGAGGTAAACATAACAATTGGTATTATAACATAAATATCACTAAAATATAATAGGAAAAAACACTAAGTAGACACATATAACTCTCCTTTGTATTATATTGAAACATATGTTAGTTTTTAATCTCAGTCTCACAATACAGACTTACTTACCTACGTTTAAGTCCTATCCCAAAATACAACAATGACACACTTATAAATACATTCATATTTAAAATATCGAGAAGACAAAGTAAGTAAAAACTAGAATAGCTGTGAAGTTTAGATGTATTACGTAGAGTATTTATTTTTCCAGATAATTTTGTGTTGTTTTGTCTACAGCCTTAGAGACGTGAAAGCTAAGAACCAATTAATGAGGTTGCTCCTATTATTATAGGTACACAAAACAAAATATGTACTTTATAAATATCTCACTTTGTGTGCCGCAGCGAACAAAATGGCGACTAAGTGTCACGCTAATAAATATGATCATTCTTTGCCTAGCTTTTACTCAAATAAATAAGATACCCCTATTTCACCACTGTCAAGTAGCTTCATTCGTAGTTTAAGCCGTGATCAAACAAACCTTTGACAGTGAAAACCCCGAAGAAGTTTCGAGAAACTAATAATGAATCAAATACCAAATAGACAATATACCAATACCAAATAGACAAGATTAATTTAGTCTGCAAGTACCCAAGAGTTGCTATATCCAATAAAAAAATAAAACTGCGTTTAAAAAACCGAAACGAAACCAAAAACTAAAAACAAACCCAAACTAAAAACCAAAAAATAACTATTATTAGTGCTGATAGGTTACCTAGGCAGTGATAGGTTAGAAAGAAAGAAGAAAGAGAGAAATAACATTTATTTAGCACCAGGCACGATGCAGCATAAATAAAATATAAAAAAGACAATCAAGATGTGACAGTGGAAGTAATTAAAAATATAAGAGTTGAAAAATTGAAACAGAAGAATTAGAAAAGAGACGCTGACAACATGCCTATGCCAAAATGCTATACTTAAGCCAGGCATACAAGTCACCCAGCACTGATTTTCAATGGGCACCCATGCTGTGACGCACGGATGGTAGCAACGTTGAATGATTAGACAAAGACAAAAAAAAAGTTAGAAGTCGGCGCCATAAGTTCTGAACAAAATTATTCATTAAAACCTTAATTGATACCTAATATTAAGTTGTTGACAATTTTGTGGCAATTAAGTTATATCATTATGATATGAGCTTATGGCACCGACTTCAATCAGTGGGAAGGTAACTTATCAGTATTAATAATAGTCATTTTTTACAATTAATTTTTACTTTTTGTTTGTTTAGTTTTTGAGTTTCTTGAAGTCGGTTTTTTAAACGCAGTTTTATGTTTTATTTTATCATTTTTAGCGTAAAGCTACATGTCTATATAGACCCGTTTTGCCACTTATAATCCATGAAAGGTAGTTACTGTATACCGTTGTGAATTTTCCTTAACAAACACGCTTCTTTATCATCAGATCTTTAATGTCAGTCCCACTCCATCTAGGAGTAAAGTTCTCATCAATACAAATTAATCAAGCCCAAACACAAGGTAGTTACTGTAAACCGTTGATGAGCTCCCTCGGTTCTCTTTCGGATCCATCATCAGATCGACTCCAGACCTATGTCAAATTGTTTGAAATACGTATTAAAAATATTAACAAACACACCAGTGGTCCCTAAAAGTTTCTACAGTTCACCTCGCTTTCCCATCAATAAATCCTGAACAGTTTACAATGGGACCACGTCGGAATTGCAACCTTTCAAACAAAAGAGGAATTTGAAAATCGGTCCACAAAGGGCGGAGTAATCCTCCTTTTTTTTGAAGTTGGTAAAAATAAATATACCTAACCGACTTATAGTAGTATTAGTTAAGTAATTGCTATTCTAATTTTCACTTACAAAAAGAACTAAAATTGCAAAGACTTTCTGAAAAAGGATTTCAGCTTAGGATTAAATATAACTTTGGACTCACGACATTAATACTTTCGTAAAATCTAATATTTATGGACGTGCTTAAAATAATATTTTCGAATTTAAACTACTGATAACAAAGAAAACAGATCGCTTATGTTAACAAAATAAGCTAATGTAAAACTTAAAACAAATGTATGTTCTTTTCCATGATATACTCACTGTATTACAAAGAATAATATTGAATACACAGTAGTACCTATCTGGCTATAAAAACACTCAAAAACAAACAAAAATGTTTTGAGTTTTGTCAATGATTCGCAAAATATTGTAATATTTATTTAACATTTTGACAGTCGTTTTTACTTCTTTGTAAAGCAGTAAAATGATCCAGAAAACTGGTTTATTGCAAATTGAATAAGTAAAGTCAAAAAAGGCAAATTCAGAGGCCTTAGTACAAGTTTGATTTACGTTTAAAGTATTCGAAACGAAACCTCGTCCTGCGCTCTGATTGGTTGGTTCGTTGGCGCCGGCCAATCAGAATGCCGAACGCGTACTCGTTACGAATACTTGAAATATAAATCAAACTCGTATTAAGGCCTCAGAGCATTTATTTCAATTAAACCTTAATTAGGCTCTTTTGAAACGTCAAAAACTGAACCGTCCGACCGTCCGTCTGTCTGTCAGTGAAGCTAGGCGCTCGCTCCAAAGTGCAGCTTCGAAGGAAGAAGAACGAGCAAGAAACTCCATCGTTACTCTTTAAAAAAATAATGTTTTTGATATTCTCATTGACACATTATCTGATCCTTTACCTAATGTATGTATGTATATGTGAGACAATAATGTCGATGTAACGACAATACAACGTCAAAATGTAATGGGACTCCGGAATCAACTCCTGTAATAATATAAAAAGCTATGAATTATTGTTTCAAACATGGTGGCCACATTTTGTAACGGGGTGTTAAAATTTTCAGTTACATGGTTAATTCGAAATAACAAATTAATTCAAGTCACTAAAAATGTAGATACTAAAAGAAAATAATGGACTCGCTTTGTAAATGGAACTGGTTTTTTATGAGCACATTTCCTGAATTATATTTTCAATTACTTAGGCACGTAGGTACCTACAATTCGATAGAATTAGATATTAAAAGTTGACAGATATTAAAAGTTGACAGATAATAAAACTAGACTTAAACAAGTTATTGTTTGTATCATTATCTTGTACCTACGTCTATTATTTGCATTGTGGGTAACGCTGATGCCAAAATATTGAGGAAATTGTTCAATTATGTACCTTTTGGCACGGTAATATTATCATACAGTAGCGTAACTCGGCCGCATGACGTATACATTAGGGCTGCCCACGGGCTACCCGTCTCCAGCATTTTAATTAGGTACATTTGCTTACTTTCTGTTCCTATTTAGTTTAATTTGTGACTGTAAATATCATTTTTTTAAATAAATAAACAAATGAAATACTTTGTATATTGAATAGGAAATGTTCAATAAAAAGGCGTGTTGTTTTTTTATCGGTAGATTTAATTTTATAAATTTGTTTTTGTTTGAAAAACCAATCAGTCTTATAAATTTGCGACCGAAAAATATTTGCAAAAAAAATACAACCAATAACAGCACAATATTTCCTTCTCGTCATATTAAATATTAGCTGTACCCTCCGACTTTTTTGTTGAGTGAGGATAGTTGCAAGGATTGAAAGTAGCATAGGCGACATTTTGTTCTTTCTAACCTACCACTTCCCTAAAACAGGGGATGGAAGTTTGTATGGAGCATTTCGTCATTTTCAAAAAATCTAAAATGAGTAGGTATCATATTTGTGACCATCAAAATATCGGGCACAAACTCTTTTCTTGAAACCGTGGGCAAAACCTAGTCCATGAATAAAATGTACTCAGTTAATTGAATTCGTATTTTTCCTTTAAAATCTCTAATTCTGATCCAGCTAAATACTATTATTAGTCCTTGAAAACAGTTTTCTATTGGCAGACAAAGGTTAAAGCAATATGCGGAGGTTTATGGTAGTATATACATCGGGTTACATTATCGATATTTTTACTCAGTTCACTTTTTTCCGTCTTATTAAATATATATAGACTATGGTCATCATCGATAATGTAGGATACTAACAGCAAGAGATTTTTTTAACTCGGTCCGGCATTTTCGGAGCCTATTCAATTCAAACAAACAAAAAATCTATTTTTTCCTCTTTATACAAAGTGCAGAAGTGTAGACGTAGATATACTCGAACTGATGTTAGAGAAAAATTGCGCGGTTATTGTTAAAAACAACACACCGTCCTTCACTGCGGTACAGCCGTGTCGTGACTATCTGCGCCTCGAGCGCGACCCGACATCGAGGCGCGCAGGTAGGTATAGCTTGCGTTTCGTCCGTTTGTATAATGAAGTCGGAGTACTGTATGATATTATTGCCGCGATGTAGGTTTCACATAATAGAAGTCATTTTATCCAAATTCTTTTTCATGTTGTATTATTCTTAGTTTAATTTCCTTCTGATAGTTTTCTGACCCGTCTGCTGAGTAATCTGTCCTTTCTATTGGTACTATACCGTCGGGGGTAATTGTGATTATTTCAGCAGGGGATGAAGGATAGGAACAGCAGACTGGGGAGCATGGTCTTTTCCTTTCGTCTGCTATTCGCAATGTTGTGTCGAGGTACGAGTTTCTATTGTTAATAATCTCATCCTTGGGAGGCTGCTGGTGTTTGCATGTCCTGTAGTCATGGAGTGGAGGTGTGACTATGGTCCTGCCGTTGTGGCAGACGTTCACTGTTGGCAGAAACTGATCTCTGCTGTCGTGTCTCAACTTGTTGCGGATACTTGGCTCCTGCCGCAACGAGTTCTTCAATGAATTACCTGTGAATATAGAAAAATATTGGTCTCGTAAAAATATTTTGTTATATTACTGTCTTACAGTAAAATATTCCTAGGCAGATATCAAAACACACATGAGAAACTGTTAGAAAAATCTCAGCTAGAAAGAATTACAACTGACGCTAATTATAATACTTGTTATTAATGTGTTGGAATGCATTATTATGTTAATTAAAAGACCATTATTTTATTTTATTTCTATCTAAAATTTTAATGGGTTTTCCACCAAATACACACACACTTTGTTGTTAACAAAATACTGAATGTCTGCCGAAATATCCAATTTTTTTTTCTACTACTGAAGCAGACCATGTAATTAAAATTATACATCGTTTTATACTAATTCAACGAAATAATTTAGAATAATATGTAAGAACAACATAAAATAAACTGAGTGCACAGTACCGCTGGACGTTGGATTCCGTTGGAAGGCGATGGCTGTGTAGGAACAGCGCTTCGCTGCCGCCCTCTCGCTGGACCGGCAGCACCAGAGCATCACTGAGTTCTGAAACAGGGCGTCTGCTAACCTGAATATTCTTGACTATTCACCCCCTACTTCATTGTACCTCTACTGTATCAATTTTCTAGAAATTACTCTTGATTCACCAATTTGAGACGAATACACTACTGTATCATTACAAGAACCATTTCGGCGTATTTTCAGACCTCTATTTAAAAACCTTTGAATATAATTAAACCGTCTAATCTCTTTCGACACACACACTCTGACTTACTGATCGCAAAAATAGAACTGTATAAACTTAGAGAGAGATACGGAAGTACGTAACCGTTTAATGAATTTTAGATCTTAAGAAGTGCATATTTGTAGTGTTTAAATCTACAATATGTATTTCACATAGATGGTACAATGTATATTAATGTGTTTAAAGCAGACTGTATGAAATTGATTAACAGTTACCTTGAAGGCGTCTCTAAATTTATTGGACATTATATGGTAAAATATGGGGTTGATGCACGTAGACATGTAGTAGAAGACCCCAGAAGTGTAGGTAAGGAAAGAGTACACAGAAAGGAGAATTGGTGACCGTGCGCGGTGGTGCTCAGTAGTGCCATATATCGCGACGAGCCGCTGAGCGTGGAAAGGCGCCCAACAGATGAAAAATGCCACCACCACTGCCACTGTAAAACGGAAACAAACCTGTAAAATAATATCCGTATTGGTTCAAATCTCAGAAACAAAAAAAACTCTTTCCAATGTTACTGTATGTTGTTAAACGATTCCTCGTTTGCGATTGCGTTTGCCTCGATGCGACGTCGCATCGCAAAAATGTGCGAAGTCCCTCTACGCATCGCAAGAACTTGCGGATTGATTCGCATCGCGCATCAAAGTCTTATCTTCCCGAAATGTTCTTTCGTTTCTTCTTCCTGTATCTCCTAAGCTAACAGAAGTGCACACTTCTTTTTACGATCCATATCACGACCTAGTTTTCAATTTAAAATACGTTAAGTAGGGTTGACGGTCGTTGAAGGAATGATCAACCTAGGAGACGCCTTGTCGCACGAAATCGCATCGCAGCAATTCGGATCGTAATTTTCCGCGTTGCGAATTCGCATCGCATCGCATTACAGTTTTGTGTACGAGCCCTAAAGTTTCCATTGATGTGCAATGCTCTTAGCTTAATCTTTACATTTATTTCGTAGATTTTTAACTTTATCGTTTTGTGAAAGAGTAAAGGGTAATGAAGTATTTTGTTCAAGTGTTGAGTTATTTAAATGTAACAAAACGGCAATTGCTAAGTGTGGGAGAGCCACAGAGAGTCACAAAGTGTTTCGTCGTGTAAGTAAGGTTACCGGAGGACCACGTTTTAATTATAAGCCTTTCACAACACAACAAAAGTAATATTACTTCTGTTGTTTAGATACAATTAGATCACTATTTTTGTGTATGTCACCAGTTTGAATGTTCTGGACAATGGCAGCCAGTAGCCACCCATACATTAATTTAGGTGAAATTAAAGTCTTGCGTCTTTAAATGAAAAATAATAATATATTGTTAAACTCGGCGTCAACTTCTGAATTGGTTGTTGCAAGAATTTTTGTTCGAGAAAGCCGGAATTAATAGAAATTCAGTTGTGAACTTTTGTAGGTTATGTCATTGGTAATTTTTAACGAAGTTAAAAGAGCAATATTGCATTAATATTTTCCTTACCCAGTTATTTTAGTATGCAATGCCTTGTAAAAAGTATAAATACCTACGTTTGGTAGGCCTTACCTTAGGTATACTTGCTATATGACTGGACAATAGGACTGAGAATGCCAGTCACCGTCTGCATTGTTTTAGGTATTGAAGCATTAGAATTATAATAGTATTCTGGGATTTTATAAATACCTACTTGCTAACATTCAGATAAAGTCTTTTTGTCCGTCATTAATAATTGAAAGTAATTCATTATTTTATTTTTACACTGCAATATTTTTACTACCCTGTAAAGAAAACTTCCACTTTGAAATAAACAGTATTGTTAATTCATGTACTCCATTTAATTATAATAACAAACAAAAACTGAATTTAATACAATAATGCTGTACTTGCTGTCACTTGGCAGAAAAATAACTTTTCATTTCAAATATCTTTTTTATTACGCTTTGACTAGTTGATGTGATACTGTGAAAAAAAAACGTAGAAAAATTATAGAATTGCTTTCGTATATAAATCACTTTTAGATGCTCCAATAAATTTCAGCTATGATTTCGCCATTGTTCTTTTACGTAGCTACCAAAACATTTAATTAGAACCTTTTACCAAAATTGTTCATTTTCTAAAATGTTAAGTGTCTATTTTTTTAGATCCGTCTATTGTTTTATTTTATCATCTATAGCCGGAAAAGGTCCACTGCTGAACAAAGTCAGTTATATCGTAGTTTTATTTTAATTTGAGCTCAAAGCGTAGGTAAATGATGAAGATAAATATGGTAATTTAAATGCAAAATTGCTAAAAGAAGACGCTTTTTAATTCAGTAGATAAAAATGCACAATTATGTGTGTTATTGTTATAGTATATTTGCATTGTGACAGCACTCTTTACGTGCCATTTACCATTTATAAGTTGAATGAATGTTTTATTTTATTATCTCATTAGTTAAATTCAAAAACAACCGGATATAAAAAGGTCAATAACAAATTTTATAACTATTAACTTGTTTACGTTTATTTATTTGGACAGCCATGTTGGATTTCTTTATTAGAAATCTTAAATCTAATTTTAATGTGAATAAAATATTGAAGAAGATATGATCGGGCGAGGTTTCAACTGTGATTAGTTGATTACACGAGACGACACACAAAAAAAAAATATTTCCATACTGGTTGTTACAATGACTTCAATAGATTAATATTTGGTTGATCCTTACCCAACATCTTGACAACTCTCTTTGTGGACTGGTTGTGTTTTCGATTTATTTTATGTGTGCATCTCACTGCTGATTCGAAATCTTTTTGTGACTGTTGTTTACTTATGCTTGTTTCTCTCAGTTTCAGCCCTATCAGTGAATATAGCACCGTGATCAGCACCATCGGTGCCAAAAAGAAGAAAAACGTCGATATTTCAAACGAGTGTTCTATGATGACTTTTGTTTGCAGGCACATCGCTACTCCTTTGTGCTCCCGAATGCCGAACTGTAGCGCTTGAGGTAACGCCAGCATCACCGCCACTACCCACAAACACATCACGTGCTTCGTTGCTCGCGACAGCTTCGACATCTTGTGTGACACAAATGGATGACATATCGCTAGGTACCTCTCCACCGTAAACAAAGTTATTGTTAAAACACTGGCATTCGTTGAAGCCTCTGCCGCTAGACCTCTTATCACACAAAAACTATGTCCAAACACATACGGCCACTTCGACCATATTGAATACATCTCCTGTGGCATCCCACTTACAAGTAAAAGCAGATCTGACATAGCTAAACTAAATAAATAGTAGTTTGTAGCCGTGTGCATGCTTTTATTCCTTACTATGACTATGCATGTGAATATATTTCCCAGGAGTCCAGTTATAAATATAAGTGAATATATAATTGTTATCGGCAGTACTATGGACATAGGGTCTCTTTGTGGACCGAAAATGAGTGTGGGATCGACTGGAGCCGAGGGGCTCTCCGTCACATTCATGACCTCATTGAGAGGACTCATGATGTCAGAGTGTTATATAGCGGTTCCAGGTTTCTGTAGCATTAATAGTCTCTTAGTTGATCCATCTGAAACAATGAAAAAACAAATTAGCGTTATGATTATAAATTATTGAATCTTTATTAATATTTATAAACCTCAATCGTTTCGTCGTCGTTGTTTTCGTTAAAAACTTAAAATAGTTTAGTATATTTAGGTATGTAAAATATATATATAGTAAAATAGCTACGTCTGTGAACTTATACTGCCAGTTTCATTTAATACATATGTATGTGTGATCTACATATTGTCCGCAATGCCATAAAATATTCATCAATGACGATTTATTGTCTTCTCAGTAAAAAAGTATGCCTAAATATACCTACTTACTTAAGTGGGTAGGTAAACCAATCATTTTTATGATAACGATTATCGAACAAAATGTTCAGGGACATAGAAAGAAGTAGAACAAAACAACATTATTTAGATCGAATTGTGTTTTCAAGGAGAGAGTGTGAAATTACCGCATAGCCATTTGTAAGTTTACCACGGGGTGTAGACTGTATTTACATATAATTATAATAGCTAACATGGTACAAATGGAACAAACAGGATACACACAAACAAGACGCAGATATTGTGTGTATTTTTCTAGTAATTGGATATTACGCATAATGAATGGTAATGATTTGTTTTCCGATGCAATTTCACTGATTGTCATACCGAATCTCCTTGTTTATCTACTTAATATTTTTTCTTCGAGGTAGATATACTCCTATGAGTTGAATTGTATTTTTTTTTTTTTTTTCAAACCAATATCTGTGGACATGGCGGCTGTGCTCCATCACTTTTTTTTTTTTTTTTTTTTTTTTAAACAATTCATGGTCGTTTCGCGTTACCCTACGTAACTTACCCCTAGTTTTCATAACTTCGTTGTGAATAAAACAAAACGTTCGGGTTTCAGTTACGAAGTAGACATTGTATATACACGGTATATTTATGCATAAACATGCACAAATGCATGCATTCATCAAATGATGCCTTAATCCCACGTATAATCTTACGATTGATTTAATGATTTTTGTGAAAGAGTTTTAAACAAAGTCACAATTTATTACAGCTGCGCAGATGCATAACTTCAAATACATGACATGACAAACTACTGAATTGCACTACAAGATACATTTAGATACATCGCTGAATTACAATACATTAGGGTCAACTAGATGCAAATACTCTATAATATCTTGACTGTTTCCCCCAAAGATAATCCAGTAACATTGCATATATTTGACATAGTTAGTATGCTTTGAAACCCTTCTATTTTAGCAGACATTCCATTTTAGGTCATCTAGTTACAAAGTCAAAGTTCGTAAATTTTAGTTACAACGGCAAATAGGTCTAGTGTTTGTTACAGCCTGGCGGTTATGTGGTTAATATACACGAAAACGTAGAGAATTATTGAACTTCTTTTTCTTTATAACAATTCGCAGTAATAATTATGCCCGGTTACATTGTACAGTGGCATAATGTGCACCTCTCCTACCCCTTCGGGGATAAAAGGCGTGATATTATGATAGCTGTTTAGGTCATCTACTACACCTATTGCATTAAGACTGCTTGTAAAGGTAAATGTCAATAAATAAATAAATATTAGTACTATGTACTTCGACGTTCATCCTCTACAATAAGCTCACTGTGCTATATTTTCCCTACTTAACGCTCGAATTCTGAAAGACTACTCACTTTTAAATTGTACATAAATATCGTGCCATCTAGGTCACTTTACAAAGAATTAAGAAAAAAAAACAAAGAATTAGTAGTGACAGAACTGTAATTATTCAAGCAAGAATTAAAACTAAGTGACATTTAAGTATTTCAGCGTAAGACAATATTTATATCGTAAAAATGAGTGATAGGTTTTTTTACATACTCATATTTTTAGATGCATATAGCTAACCCACCTTTGTCTTACTTTCTAAACATTGCTACGGTTTCTTTACCCGACTGTTATCTTCAGCACAGTTGCTTTATCTACCTAGGTACAATGCTGGGGAATGAGCAAATCAAGAAAATATAAAATTTTCTTATAAATAAAAGCGATTTCATACAGAAGTTGTGAACATAATATCTACGTCAGATCAAAATAATTGTAGAATTTTCCACACATTATACACAAAATAACAGAGGGCTGTTGAATATTTTCATATACCCACAACGTGGGTGTCGCAAGTAGATGACAGGCTTGTTGGGAATGATAAATAGTTGTGTTGACGACTAACTAACGAGCCTTAAGCCTTATGTCTTCACTGTATGTGGGATTTCTGGAAGTAAACAACAGTACATCAAATTGTAATACTGAAATATAAATAATTTTCTTCCAAATGCGAATGTATTGCTAAGTGATATTTAGAACGAAGGATTTTAAAGGTAGCTGAAAAAGCACCCTGCGTTCAAAAAACGAATAGGTGCAGGTAAATTGAGAACTTTCTCCTTTTTGAGAAGTCGGTTAAAAATGGTGCTTGCTATTTCAAAACAGGAAATAAAACTGGTTTTCCTGTTCCATGTCAAGGTGGAACTTCAAATATAATGCTATTATATATTCGAAAACCAATAATACTCTGACTGAAACATTACCTGTTTTCAGCAGAATATCCCTATAATACGATATTGTACGACGGTGAACAGGGTTTTTCAAGCTTAGTAGGTAGGAATTCCTTTTATTTTTGTTATGGTTGTCTTTCCTTTCGATTTGTTGGCATCACATGTAAAGTTCATTCTATTTATGTTTTTGAAGATATTTCTATGTCATTTAGTTTATTTATTTGGTTTCTCAACAAACGATACACTTACATGCTAAAAAATAATTTACCAGACATTACAATAATCTAGTGATTCTCCATTTAAAGGGAATCACATCATGCGTTCAAACTTAGGGCAATTGAATGAAATTAAATCAAATTAAATTAAAGTACAGAAATGTCAATAAATTTTAAAAGAAATACAACATCAAACATCCAAATCACGTCAAAAGGAATTAAAAATTTGATTAAACAATTCTTCAAATAAGATCAATGTAAAATTCGGAATAAACAGAAATAATCTTTGTAAATAATACTAATTAAAAGTACTAAATTCATATTCATATTCATATTCATATTCATTTATTTGCGTACCATAAAGTGATTAAGGTGTTACAATAGGCTTAAAGCTAAATACATTTATGGACCCTGTAAGGGCACAGCAACATTTGTTATGACAAAGATAAAGATAATTAAAGTCAAAATAAAAATGATAATTACTAAAATAAAATGTCATATTAAAATTCTTGGTAAGTCAATAATTACAATGATACCTAAATCAAATTTAAACAATCATAATTAAATTAAAATAATCAAAATCAAATTAAAATAATTAAAATCAAATTAATATAACGAAAATCAAATTAAAATAATCAATAGGTATGATAAGTCAAGTTCAAAGGAAAGTCAACAAACATTAAAACAAAACTCATCCACAAAAAACAATGTCACATCAATAATATAATATAATTCAAGTAGCAGGTACTCTAAAATTTATTGCATTTTGTCATTCATGTATTCATCTATTGTATAATACCCTCTGTCTAATAGAAATAGCTTTAATTTATTTGTAAATATGTTATGTTTGTTAATATTCTTCAAGTGTTCCGGTAGTTTATTATATACCTTTATTGACATTACATGTGTACCTGACGAATGCATTTTAAGTCGTGAAATTGGCATGTTTATTCTGTTTCTATGTCTTAGAGTGAATCTGTTCTGTATTTCTTCTCGTTTTGTGTAGAATTCAGGATATTGGCGTACAAATTTACAAATTTCAAATATATAAAGACAAGGCAAAGTCAACACCTCCAGTTGTCTAAAGTGAGGCCGGCAACTTTCAGTTTCATCTATGTTGACCAGTATTCTCACAAGCTTTTTTTGGATGGTGAATAATGAGGGTGCATCGGTACTATTCCCCCATAAAATGACACCATATTTTAGCCATGCATAAGCGTACGCGTAATACGTGACTAGGGCTGTTTTAACGTCTGTAGTTTTTTTAATTTCGCGAAGAGCATATGCAAACTTTAATAATTTCATCCTCAGTTTTTGGACATGAGATTTCCAATCAAAGTGTGAATCTATATCCAAGCCTAACAAAGTGAACCTACTGACTGTTTCAAGTTTGAAGTCCTTATAAATAAAATTTAAATTTAACGGTAATTTTTGGCGGGGATGGAAGGTCATAATTTTGGTTTTGGTGTAATTTACTTCTAGATTATGCTCCGTTAACCAATTTGTCGTATCGTTCAGTATGGAATTTAATTTATTATTAAGGTTAGTAGTACAGTCATATGCGGTCATTATGGATATGTCGTCCGCAAACAAAACACAAGGTTCATTTATATGGCTTGGAAGGTCATTTATATACACAAGGAAGAGAAAACAACCAATAACGCTTCCCTGCGGTATAGAAGCTTCGATTTGTAAGTATTTTGATCGGACTAATTCTATTTCGCTTGTTTTTTTATTATAATATTGCACTTCTACTAGTTGTTCTCTGTTTCGTAAGTAGGAAACAAACCAATCATAACATTTTCCGCGTATTCCTATGTTATATAGTTTATTTAACAATATTTGGAATTGTACTTTATCGTAGGCTTTGGTCATGTCTAACAGCAAACCTATAGCATATTTTTTATCGTTTATGATACTAAGTGCTTTTTGTACGTACTTGTATACTGCTAAGGTAGTAGATCGATTCTTTCGGAAACCGTTTTGACTATCATTGAATATTTTAAACTTTTCACAAAACGCGTATACTCTGTTACACATGGCTTTTTCGAGTATTTTTGATGCTGTAGGTAAAAGTGCAATTGGTCGGTAATTACTTGGGTCGGTTTTTGAATTCTTTTTGTGTATTGGTTTGATAAGGGCTTTTTTTAAGAGGTCAGGGAACACTCCTTCTTCAAACGATTGATTGATTAGTTTGTAAAATGGCAAAGTAAGCTCATCTGCGCAATTTTTAAATAAAGTTGGGGGAAGGTCGTCTATACCGCAGCTTG